GAAAGTATTTAACTAGTAGAACAATTTATTTGTTTGAAAGTTTTTACTAGTAGAACAAATTTTAGTTTGAAAGTATTTACGAGTAAAACGATTTTATCGTTAGAAAGTATTTACTAGTAAAACGACTTTATCATTTGAAAGGTTTTCAGAGTAAAATGATAGCATTTATGTTACTTTTAATTTAGTTTAAAACCCCATTATTAAATTGAATTAGAATGTTTAGGAATATTTTCTCTTTTGTGAATTGAATAAACATACAATTTAATTCGGCTAACCTTCCTTAGAGAACGACCCGAGTCGGGTAACTCGGTTATTACTTGCCCAAAAATATTACCAACAAAATGATCTTAGTGTCGTAATATTTCAATATGAGTGTTGTAATATTGTAAGTTCTTATTGTCGTAACTGATATTGTAATTTTCCAGGGTTATAAATTTCAGATATACAATTGACAATCCATGTGAAAAAGCACAATCCATGTCACTTTGATCTCCACCATTCATCACTAAAGTAATTAATCCTATCCATCCATCAAAAAGTAATTAATCATATCCATCCGTCGAAAAGCAATTAATCCTATCCATCCATCAAAAAGCATAATCCATGTCAAAAGGTACAATTCATGTCAGTTTGATCTCCACCATTCATCAATAAAGTAATTAATCCTATCCATCCATCAAAAAGTAATTAATCTTATCCATCCGTCATAAAGCAATTAATCCTATCCATCCATCAAAAAGCATAATCCATGTCAAAAGGTACAATTCATGTCAGTTTGATCTCCACCATTCATCAATAAAGTAATTAATCTCGTCCATCCATCAAAAAGCAATTAATCTCGTCCAATAATCAAAAAGCAATTAATCTCATCCATTCGTCAAAAAGTACAATCCATGTCAAAAAAACACAATCAATATTGATAAATAGAGACCTCATTTAGCATATTTCACACACACCAGAAAACATCTCCATTTCATCTTCCTTTCATTACCACAACTCTATTGTTCTCAATTTATCAATGGATCTAAGCAATTTTTTCTCAAACACCGAAGATTATTATCCTAGCCTTGAAAATCCTGATAGTCAAGATTTTCAAACCCATTCAAACCCATTCCAACCCTCAATTTCCAATTGATCTCACTCACGAAAATATCCAGTCCCCAAACACAAGTACTTCACATACTCCCAAAGTTTGGACAAATCAAGAAGATCTGACACTCATGTATGCTTGGGTTACCGTAAGTCAGAATGCTGCTATCGGCACGAACCAAAATAGTCAGACATTTTGGAAAAGTATCTCGGAAATGTATGAGGAAGCTCGTGCGGACAACTCAAAGTTTATGGGACAACAAAGAACCATTAAATCGCTAAGGAATCGTTATAGGAGGTTGAACACAAATGTAACCAAGTGGTTGGGCGCCTACTAAGAAGCATATGCTCAAAAAAGTAGCGGTATGTGTAACACCCCGCTTATCAGAGTAACTTTTTCGCAACCTTTTACTTCGATATCACTTTAACTTTTTCGAAATAATTGCAACTTACTCGGGATGCTACTAAACTCGTCTTCTTGAAAATCCGTTTATCTTTAAACTATTGTCTAATACTTCTTTAGACTTATTAAAACAGATTTCCTTTAAACTTGCATCTAACATATTATCATCATATTTCTCATAAAAACTTGAAATCTAAAATTCATTAAAATGCAAGTTTAATAATTAATGTGCGTAGCAGAAATATTTGAAACGTGGTTAATTATACAAACTTTATAAATGTCCACATTAAAGCCTGTCTTTATTTTCTTCCACGATCCACACCACACGGCTCTTCTCACATCTCCTCGTTAACCTGTTACCTGAAACTAAAACTCATGGGGGTGAGTAACGAATATGGATAATCATAAACCGATATCTGATCGGTAACTTAAACTTAAACTTTCATTTCTCAGGCCCGTCTCGCCTCCATCAGAACTTAGGATATAATCTTTGAGACAATTTAATGCCTCCTCATCCCAAGCGTAATAAACCTTAAACTTCGGGATATAACTTTTGAGACAACTGATGGTCTCCTCATCCCAATCACATATCGTACTCAATGTGATACCCGTTCAGGGTCCCCACCTTTTCATCTTTGAAATCTTTTGTAACACGATAAGCGCTGTACTGGTACTGTATCTGCAAGTCAATTCAAATATAGACAAATATACTAAATACTATGCTCGTATACTCAATAATTTCTTAGGATTATTAACTTATCCCATTCTTCTAATAATTCATCTAAACTTTCTTATTCTCAAGTTAAGATTATACTTAACTTCACTTTTTACTTTTTCTCAAGGTTAATTACTTAACCTTATAAAACATATCTTCTTAAACATCAATATGTTTCATAACATGCTATAACTCAAATGTGAAAAATACTATATTTCACATTATACTTGATTAAGTACTTAAACTTACTTTTTACCATCATCATCATCATCATCATGGTTTATAAACTCATCTTAACTTAATCTTTTACTCAATCAAGTACTTAATTAATCATACATCATACTTCTCTTTTTTTTTTTCCAACGACATAAAATTCTCAATAAAAAACGCCAACCGGCAATGTACAAGGGCAAAGCCCGAATCCTGGGTAACTGAGAGGTTACAATAGCACCAATGCAACCTAGACCGGAATACTGCTCGCAACGCGAGAAAACCAGACACAACAAACACAAATAAACACTACTACAAAACGACTAATACAAATAGAGAACCCTCCTAACAGGAGAATACCCGGAATAACTACTAATAAAAAAGAGAAACCTCCCAACAGGAGAATACTCGAGTGCGCTCCCAACAGGAGAATAAGGTTGCACACGAGCCCACTGGAGCCATACTAGCACACAACAACAACAGCAACAAACCAACAACACAAACACGAAAACAAAAACGAAACAAAGAAGATAAATAACACTGGCCCTTCCTCAGCTCGTCGACACCGCCCCAACCAGTAGTGATCGATCGTCACAAGAAAGATCCCGAGTCCAAGTCCCGCTACTGAAACTGCACGAACGCCTAGCAGTAGGTGAACCCAATACCCAGAAGATTCCCCGATACGACCCGCCGTTGACCTAGAAGAAACCACGACCAAACCAATCCTCACACCCAATCCCCCTGAGCACAACTAACACCACTAGAAGCACTCAACTAGACCGGACCCCCGCCGCCTAACACCACTAGCCGAACGGAGGATTGTGATGGAGTCGTGGCCCCTCAACCCTGACGCCGGCGAGACCAACTCCCGCTCGCCGCCAGAGACCCACCCCCTTACTGACCCAAACCAGTCAAAATCACCGCAGTCCACCGACATTAAGCCGAGAAGCCCCAAAACGGAGCCCCACCGGAAAAGCCCCAAAAAGCGCCTCACCAGAAAAAGCTCACCGTCCGAGGGGAGCCCCAAAATCACGACCAAAACGCAGCAGGAGAGAAAACTTACCTCCAATTGAGACCGGCTGACAATCACCGCCACCAATTGCAGCCCAATCGCCGACCGAAAGGCTCGCCCCGTCTCGCCGCGACCTCGCCGTTGACCTAGGGTACAACCTCCCTGCGAGCATCGGGAACACTACGGCAACATCAGGTTCAGCTGAGGGGCCGGCGGTCGAAGGCGACCTCCAGCCGAAGGCGCGCCGCCGCCAAGGAAGGCTTCACTGGATGAAGAAGAAGCTCGGCTTTGTCGCGGTCTTTTGAATCGCCAGAGAAGAGTTTTTCTCGCACTTTAATTTTCTTTCACCTCATAAGGTTATGTAAATGGACCGAATAACTATCAGACCATCACACAAATGTCGCATATTCATCGCACAATGTCTTTGCATTTTCAAAGGTCAAAAAAGTGAACTTATCAGCGGCCCAATGTGAAACACTTATTACATTTCTATACTGGGGTGAAAAAGATTATTTTCACATCTCAAAAACTGTTGATGCTTTTTATTTTTATTTTTATTTTAAGTTCATACTACTACTGAAATTTCACAGTATTTAGTATTTACGCCTATGAGCTATGAGGCAACTATCAGCGGACTACTGATACTCATCTGATAAAAGTCAAACTTTTCCCTTACAGAAAAAGAAGGAATGAAAACATTAATACCCTTCTAAAATCTTCAAACAAGGCTGTTAAGAAACTATGTGAAAGAAGGCTCTACATAAGTAAAAATTAAGATGGTACAACAATCAGTAGCAAACGTGCTTTTATGATTGACATTTATAGAAATGGCTATAGAATACAAGACACTGCATTTCTAAATAATGGAACATTTTCAGGTTTATGCTGTACGACAAGAAACAATGGAACCTTAATTTAGTGTTTACAACGCAACAACTGAAGGAAGCGGAAGCTCCTGTTCGACCTCGACCGCTCTTCCGGAACCTTCTTCAGGCATCTGCAATAACGATAAAAAAACATTATACACGAGCACTACTATAAGCTATAAGTAATTATAAAAAATATATATTCAAAACGACCTCTAAATCCTTTGACTCGTGCCGCGAGAGATAGCGGTTGAATGACCCTTTTCCATAAAGGATTTTAGCCCCACATCCTCGACCTTTGGTGGTACCTAAAGACTCCTCATCAACTACAACCGCATCTATTATATCTTCGCCTATTCTAACATCTGGAGCCTGCATGATTTATATTTGAAAAAAAAAATGAAATGTTGAAGAAAAAAATAACACAAGGTGTTGTATGCTAGCTAAAATTTTCTATTGACGAAAATTAAAGCTATGTTTGGTAGACAAATAAACTAGCTTATAGCTTATTTGGTTAACTTATAAGATTCCTTTATTTAAACAAGCTTCGCTTGGTAGGACGGGCCTTTTTAAAAAGCTCGTTGAAATTTTTATTTCAGCCAGCTAATTTTACCAAACATTTTTATCATATAAGCTAACTTTTCAGTTACAAGTCATAAGATATAAGCAATAATCATAAAAATTACTGATAAGCTATAAAACAGCTTATCAGCTATTAGCTAGTATATCAGCAAACATTAAAAAGGAGATGACTCACAAACCTCATACATAGCATCCATCAAAACACTCTCCAATATGGATCTTAGGCCTCGAGCGCCTGTGTTCTTGCTTATTGTTTTCTGAGCAATCGATCTCAATGCATTGTCAGTGAAATGCAACTTCACCTAAACACCAAAAAAAAACTTTTAAAATGGTGGAATATAAATCTCAGGCAGGTAAATGTAAGACATAAGTTGCCTGGGACTCATCAATATTCCATCTTTTGTTCATACCCCCTCCTCTTTCTCCACTTTTTATAAACAACATAACTAACAAGTGGAATAAGAAAAATTACGATTGGGGATAATATGAAAACTACCCAAGAAGTTGAGCATAATTACCAAAAAAATGCAGATATCCTTTTCAAAAATATAAACGCGCCTTTTGGGCGTTACAGAAATTGCATGGAGCTGTGTTTGATTTAAAGAACAAAAACTGCAGTTGTACATGTAATTGGTAAAACAGAAATATATGCCAATGAAGCTACGTGCAACTTCAACATGAGTGGATTTTGGGTAATAAAGCAAAAATTCAGGCAATAAAACAAAATTATAAAAATTATGGGAAAGAAAACCCAGTCAGCCAGTCTTTCTGAAAATGAAGAAAGAAAAATAAGGAAGAGAGGAAGAAAGTTGAAGGGTAAGGACACGATGAATTAATATACCCACAAAAAATGTTTGCAATTATACCAATTGAAAAGTAAATGGGAACTTACTCCATTCATTCCGAACATTTTCTTATACTGCTTCCCTAATGCATTTCTAGGCTCAGTCAAAACCTGGAGAACCAATTCTATAGCGTTAACATGCATTATAATGACTATTAAAGTTTTAAGTATCTGCAGACACTATTGTCAAATTTGTCTAATGAGCAACCACCCACAATAATAATAATAATAACAATAATAATAATAATAATAATTATTATTATTAATAATAATAATAATAATAATAATAATAATAATAATAATAATAATAATAATAATGATGATGATGATGATGATGATAAACCGAGGAAATCAAGATAGACCAATCGCTTACCAATAGTTCTTATTTAAGGTTGTCCTTACAATTAGATAGACATACTCTTCCCACAATGTGCATACTTTATTGGAAATGTCATACTTTAAAAAGCAACATAAACAAAAATATGACATTTGACAGCATAAAATATGCACTTTTATTCGTATATTATAACGGATCGACCTTTCTAACGATTAGGTTGGCTCACACAAGAATTTGTGATCTCTTATATGTACACCCAATAGACAGAAATTACAATGTCATTAAACTTGTTGATACGAAAAGGGAAACAGTAAAACATTTGAAAATTGATTCTTTTGAAGAAACACTATTTTACCACATTTTTTATTCCATGAATGAATAATTACCTGAACAAGCTGATCCTCAGTAAGTGCTGACAAGCTAACAAGTACGGGAAATCGTCCGACAAACTCTGGAATTAGCCCATATGCAATAAGGTCACTGCTTTCAACCTGAAAAATTTGGGCCGTATCATGCACATACCCTTTTCATATAATATTTTATTTATATCAAAACGTATCATCGAAGCTTGGCCTAATTAGAAAGGAAATACAGTTCTTTGCAATGCCAAATACACACATAAAAATTACGAAACCCCGAGTTTGCATATTCTTAACAGATACGCTCCAGTTTTAGTTGCAATTATGTAAAATCAAACAAGTGTCAACGAACACAAAATCTGAAATCTTAAAAGACAGCTGCTTTGTTTTTTTTCTACTTTTTTTTCAGCCCAAACAGATGATGAGTGAGACAATCAAAGATACTCATGGCAGTATACAGGAAAAAAAAATGTGTTTGTAAAGCTTACTGTTTCCAGCAAAGATGAAGTTACAGCAGCACTTGTAACACCACCTGTTCTCATGTTTGCACGTACAGGGGCACCAAAGCCAATGGACGAATCATGGCGTCTTAAAAATCACTAAAAAACGTAAGTTTTCTCAAACAGTTAAAAACTGAGCACATATACTCATATTCTTGTCGAGAGTTAAACTTACCGGTCTGAGATTGACTTTTCCAAGTCAATGAAGGCACCACCGCATACAAAGAGAATGTCTTTTGTATCAATCTGTAGAATAGACCAGGTGCTTTGAATGATTTCACGAACAAAATAGATATTTGTTCACAAGATGTGGAGTACTTTTAAAAATTAAAACTAAAAAAAGTGTTAAAAAGCATAAATATTCGCATGAAACTACTGAGACAAATTGAGAGACATATACGATGAAAAACACAGTCAAGAGTCAATAAACAAATGGATAATAAAATCAGGAACGTGATGTCATATGACAGAGAACAAAATATGTTAAAACAAAAATCGAAGGTTTCTTGAGAGTCTAAAAGCTTCTATTGGGAGAACCAAGAACATCAAGCCAACATATATAAAGAATTTACCAGATCAGTTGGTCTATGTTGATAAAAATTATAATCATTTATATTAGCCAGTTAATGCTTATCCCTTGGAAAGAGCAGTCCCAACGATTTTCATCATAAATTCATAAGAACATAAAAAAACAAGTCAACTTCGTAACCTCACACTGTCATATTACTTTACCTGAATATTGTCGCCTCTAGGATGCTTCCGGGCGCCCTTCTCTGGAACATTAACCACCTAAGTGGCCCACAAGAAAGTTACTTGATGTGATATTAAAATTGGAAAATTCTATTTTCAGCTATTCTTGTGAAGCTTTAGGGTACATACTGCACAAGATGATGCTATGTGCAATTAAACCACCGCTTGATTTATACTTTTAATTCAAAAAATTACCTTTAGCATCATTTTGTTTCTTACGAGAGAAATATATACCCCCTTGGCAAATGTTCATGCCATATAATAGTCAAACCCTTAATTTTAAACAAACATGCTTATTTTTTGGTGATTAAACTAAAACCCTTAATATAAATCTAGCTTATGTGGATTATCACATCAAGGAAGAGAAGTAAACACTTACGGTCCCCTCGAGCATTTTTAGCAATGCTTGCTGCACACCCTCTCCCGAGACATCTCTACTGATATTGAGGCTTTCGGCCTTCAGATTCAAATAGAAAACATAAACATGCATATAAGATAAGACGGACAGATTTTCACAAAATGCAATGACGATAACAGTGGATGAAAAAAATTGACATATAGTTTGGTTCACACCTTCTTGGTGATCTTGTCAACTTCATCGATGTAAATAATGCCTTGTTGTGCAGCTGCCACGTTATAGTCTGCAACCTGAAATGAAAATAGACACTAAATGCTCAGAATCCAAAAGGCAGAAAAAAACTATGTAGTGACATGCAGGGAAAATTCAGATTTAAATTTATACTAAATTGGTCAAAAACAGATTCCCAATTCCTCTTATTCGTAATGCCAGAATATTCACACAAATGTGATGTTTTTCCATTGTAAAATTATAAATGAAAGAAAGTTAATGCAAAACAAGATGTGAAGAAAACCAGAGCCTGTCGAGCTTACTGTAAGCAGCTTATATAAAATGGATTCCACATCTTCCCCAACATATCCGGCCTGCAACAAGATGCATACTAGAATAAAGATATGTATATAACAATAATTTATAGAAGTTATAATATCTAAAGTATTCAATTTAGAATAACCAATAACCGATATACGTAGTCGTACCAAGTTATAAATATCTCAAGGTTCTTTGAGGGAAAAGAAACTACATGTAATACATATTCATTCTGCTTCATTATATGACTTGCCTGAGTAAGTGTGGTGGCATCAGCAATTACGAATGGAACATTTACCAACCTCGCCAAAGTCTTCGCCAGTAGTGTCTTCCCTTAAAAAAGACATTAGAACCACACGATGAGGCAGTTATATTGGAACAAATAAGAGAATATATACTTCAAAAACCAAGAAAAAGAAAAGGAAAGGCAAGTAAATAATAACGGCTCCTGTCAACAAAAGATTACTCCTCCCCTCGTATTTCTAAAAATTTTAATGAAGAAAATGAGTCAGCCACTAAAAACAAGAAATTACAACAAATGAATCATAGAAATGAAAATATGCCAGAAAGAAAGCGAAAAATAGTAAACCGCCGTATATTTCAAAGGCTAAGACAGCCCAAGCGAAGATTCCTTGGATAATCAGGAAAAACTAGGAAGAAAAGGTTTGAACCTAAAGACCCTGACATACAATGTGCAATCTCAAATACTTACATTATTCGAACATATAACTAATCATGGGCATCACTACAATACATCTTAATATTATACCGTAAATTTTTCCGCGTAATTTCAACATTCTATTAAGCAAACGATGCATTTTGAGAAAACTACCTGAACCCGTGGGACCCATAAGAAGGATGTTACTTTTTTCGAGTTCCACATCCTCGTCATCAGTGCCATCAGCTTTAAAGTTATCTGAGGTCTCCACACCAGCAAGCCTAGCTTTCATGGTAGGAAAAGTACCATTATTGCATCAAATATTATAATGTGGATGCTGAGTTGATCATCACAATGTAAAACCACAAAACACTAATTCAAACAGGAAATTATCACAGAACGAAGTTACAATTTCAGTCGGCAATCATCAGTAGTTTAGCTATGGGCAAGGGACAGGAGACAAACTCAGTGGCCGAAGAAATTTAGATTCATAAAGATGCCATTTGAACACCTATAACGATTTAAGTGAAGAATGCGTATCAATTGATATAGAATGCCCAAGTCATTACCTTTGAGAAGCATCATTGTATATCCTCTTGTAATGATTATAAACAGCTACAGAAAGTACCTGCAACAAATAAATCTTATTAAAACCAATCCACATTATGATTTCAAACTGAAAAAATATGAAGCAATTAACAAGAAAGAAGAGCGTAAAGACCAAGAAAAACCAAAACTTGGAAGTAACAAAGAAAAAACAAGATACAAATAACAACTATTGAAGTGATACTCATCCTCAAAAATAAAGTTTAATCCTGATAAGATTATCAACTAAAAGCAAGCACTAAATGCAGAAAAGATAAACCTTTTTAGCTCTCTCCTGCCCAATCACAAACTTATCAAGCCCTTTACATATTTCCTTTGGTGTTGGAAAACTCTGTCCCAAATTTGATCCGCCCCATGAACCCTCTTGCGGCCCTCCTCCACCCGGGCCCGTATCCAGCCCGGTCCCATCACTCATCTGAATATATTTAATCCCGGGCCCCAACATAATCCCATCCCCGTCCGGAGGACCTTGCGACCTATTATAGTTCAGAACATTCCTCGCAATGCTAAAAGACCTCCAAGAATTCTTTCTGATGGGCATGAAAGGCCCGAAAATGAAGGGGGAGCTTGAATGGAAATTATGATTCCTTTGATAATCAATACGATATCCGGAAGTCCGGCGGAATTGGTTGACCCGACCCCAATATGTATGATGCTGAATAACGTTTTTTATCCGCGAAACCGCAGCTGAAGCTGTATCTCTCGAGGATTTTGACCACAAAGCAGTTGCCATGGCAGAAAAGGCATAAAAAGTTAAGAATCTTTGTAAAAGAATGAAAGAGCTCTACAGCGAAAATTAGGACATGAATTTGGAGGAAAAGGTTAAAACTGAAATGGGTTCTATTCAGATTTGTAGAGAGATCTTTTATCTGGTAAATCTGGAGGGGGGAGTGGTGAAAGATGATAATTGGCTTCTTAAAGACTTGTTTAAAAGTTAATCTATATATCTATATCTATATCTATATCTATATATATATATATATAGAGAGAGAGAAGGGATCATATGAGAATGATTCTTAATGCGAGAAATAAGAATGGATCTGCACCATGGGATTAATCATATTAATGGTTAAGATCAAGTCAAAACATGGTCAATCATTAATGGCAATCTGATAATTATTTAATTATAGTGTGGTCAAATATGTGTGTATGACCAATAATAAGGATAAGTTGGTCAATACACATTTATTATGTGGGACCCACTCACCAAATTACTTCACCCCACTTTTCTCTCTCCTCTCCCCCTCCCTCTCTCCTACCCTCCTTTTTTGTTTCCTCAATCTCTCTCTCCCCACCCGATCTGAAAATCTCACAAGATCTGAAAATGAAATCTGAACATTCACACACGCACAACAAACACTCAGGCCACCATCGTCTTCTCATCGGCGGAGCTCCGCCACAGTGATTATGCAGCCCGCCCCCGCCCCCGCCCCTCCGCATCCCATCGTCGGAATCGGATGCGACCAAGGAGTTTTNACCGCGAATCACCACCTACACGTTGATTGATGGACGATGGAGGCTGCGGGAGAACAGCGGAGGAGGATGGCCGGTTTGTTTTTTGATTTTTTTTTTTGGGCTGAGGACTATCCGCCAGTTGTGGCGGCTTTTGGTGACGATTACAGTAGCGGCGACGGCGTTTGTTGAAGAGGACGCGGCGGCGGCGGTGGCTGACGTTGAGTGGCGGTGGTGTCTTTTGATTTGGGGGAGCTGGGTCCGTTTTTGAAACTACATTGTGTTTAAAGGACTATTTTGCAATTCGTACACTTTTAATTTTTGTGTATGTGTATTTTTATCTATGCATGACATTTTATGGTTAAATAAGTATTAATTTATGCACAATAATGACACATTAGATGCACAATATTGAATGTAGGTGTGCACCTTAAAAAATAAATAATCAAAATGAAATGAAAAGGTTCGAACCGAAAAAATCAACATAATCAATTTAATTTGTCAATTAACAAATATAACTAAAATAACTGATATAAATTATATCATTTATTATAAACAACACGATTAAGGTTTAATATTTTTTATTTGATATTTTATATTATATTAATTTTATTCAAAATTTAGTATTTATGTGAACGAAATATACCGTGCAATGTAACATTTATTAAAATGCAATTTGTTCAACACTACGGTGCACGGTGTCGGTTTGTATTGTGCAGATTGAACCAAGCGAACTTTTGTCCTAAATCAAATTGAAAAAATGAACATAGTCAATTGGTTTATTCGGTTCGAATAATCGAATTATCCTAAATAATTGAAATAATCTGTTGTTTATATTAAAATTATATTTAATATGTTAATAATTTTATTTATTATTTTTATATTAATTTGTTGTTGAATAAATTGAGTTCGGTCGGTTTCGATCTCTAATGTGCAATCTGATAATCATTATAAAGTGCAACGTATTGTTTTGTAAAGTGCAATTTATTGTTTTATGTGCAACGTGATAGTGTATAAGTCAAATTATAAAGTGCAATGTGTTTTGTAAAATGCAATGTGTTATTTTATAAAGTGCAACTTGATAGTGTATAAGTCGAACTATAAAGTGCAACGTATTCTTTTGTAAAGTGCAATGTATTGTTTTATAAAGTGCAACGTGATAATGTATAAGTCGAACTACTGTAATTATTAACAATATTTGTAGTTATTAATAATATTTATAATTATTAAAAACACCCGTTATAATTTACGAAATTACATAGAGTTGTTCACCAGTTGGTTCAATTTGTTCATAAATGTATCTAAATTTACCAAGATATTCCCTTAAAAGTGAATGTGGTCTAACACTATCGTGTATTATGACATGCGTGTTTTTTTTTTGTTTTTTTGTATTTATGATGCGATGGATATTAAAGTATTATGTAGATACGTTTTTTAGATTTATATTGTGTAACATTTCGGCGGGGAATGTTGACACTAATTGTCGAATGCGTTGATACAGTGCAACATGTTGTGTTATAAAGTGCAGTGAGATGTTTTATAAAGTGCAATATCTTGATGTATAAATATAGCACTAATTTATACCTTACTAGATAAATTATGTGTTCTCGAAAAATATTTTTAATAGAAATAATCGAACATTGAATTAACCTAAAAAAATAAAATATATTTTTATTTATTATTTTTATTATATAATTGATTGATTATTATAAATTATTTTTATATTATTTTAATATTTATATTATTTTATTTAATATTTTATTTATTGATTACTTAGATGCATAACAATATATATGGAACTTCTCCAGATCTTGACCTCTCGCTCCTCTTATCCATAAAAATTAATTTTTTATTAACTTTCAATAATTACATATTTGACCCAGGGGTTAAATTAAAATATTATTTAAATTATTAAAATTGCCAATAAGTCCCTAGAAATAACCTAATTCTCAACTAAGATGCCCAAACACACAGTCCAGTTTCAGACTTCAAACTGCTCCGTATCACCACATCGCGCGTCGGTGAGGGCGTGGTTCGAGTTGCCGGAGGCGGCGGTGGTCGAGGCTCCGACGGCGGAGGTCGATGAGTCAGCGGTAGAGGTCGAGGGACGGGACTGTCGGACCTAGTGTGTGAGGAGTTGACGACGGCAGATCGCGTCGGGATGAAGCCTCGCCCATCGCGATGGAGGCGTGGCAAGCTGCAGGGTCGCGGCGGGTCTGCGGCGAGCGGTGGACGGTGGCGATCGGCGGGGATCGTGCAAGACGATGGTTCTCTCTGTGTGCGTGTGTGTTGTGCGTCGGAGAAACGCCGGCGTATGGTGGCTGTGCGGCAGCGATGGGTGGTTCGCCGGTGGGAGGTCGGCGATTTTGGTTGTGTATCTGTAATTGTGTGTGTATAATGTGTGAGTGATGGTGTGTTTGTGAGAGAGAGAGACACAATGTGTGGAGTAGGTGTGAGGTGGCAGGTTGACCCATTAATATTGACGTGTAGTATTAATTTGGAATTTGGACCCACCTTTTTTAATGTGGTGTGAAAAAATACAACAATACCCTTAATCAAGTTATAATTTTGGCTTTTTTTAAACAGTTGGATCATTTAATCCTATGGTTGAGATTTATTCTCATTTCTCGCATTAAGCATCATTCTCACCGGAGCGCGACCCTATATATATATATATATATATATATATATATATATATATAATAAGAATTAACATTTACCATAAATAATAGTAAGAAAAGTCAAACCACATTTATTATATACTATTTTCAGCAATTTCTTTATTTTACATTTTAATTTTAATTCATTACCAAAAAATTGGATGGTTCCTAAATTAATGGGTTTTAGATGCTTTCAAAAATTATAAAATCATTTAAAATCGGATGGTTCCTAAATTAATGTTTACATACTTTTCAAAGTTAAATTAATGTTTACAAACTTTTCAAAGTTGTAATCTTTATGACATCTTTTCTTTTTGACTTTTAATAATAAAATCATTTTAAATATATATATTTAAAATTATTTTAAATATATATATATATATTAACATGATTGAATTTTTGGATTAAAATATATATATTTAAAATGATTTTATTATTAAAAGTCAAAAAGAAAAGATGCCATAAAGATTACAACTTTGAAAAGTTTGTAAACATTCAATTAATTTTGATTTTATTATTAAACGCTAAAAATATTCTTTAAATTGCATACTAATCAATTAATCTTGATTTTTTTTTAAATTACTATGTTTATTTTTTATTAATATGCATAAAATAAAAATAAATAATTCATCTTTAGGTATATAATTTACAATCTTAATATACTATTATTTGGTGTAGACATATGAATCATAAATTTTTTTTATTTCATAAAATTAAATATTATATCTAAAGAAAATAAGGAAATTACTTTGGATTAATCGGGTGATTGAATTAGGGTACTGCCCACGTTGAATTAATTTTAGGTGATATTTAAACAAAAACTTTGAAACAACTTAGTTGGTCTCAGGTAACTAAGTTATGTATCAGTTTGACCAGACCAAATCGATTATTGAACCTAAATATAAATTTTAATATTGAAAATACTTTATTACGTGAATGTGATGTAGTCCATACTTTAAATAATCATATTAACAATACTTTTATGACAACATAATTAATGATTAATGAATATTTATATATCATTTTATTATTATTTATGTGAACAAAATAATTATTTTATTATACTTTTTAATTAATGTACGGTAAATATAAGGTTTGCAGAACCGGACCGTCATCGAAACGATCAAGTTATTTTATTAAATCATTTGTAGTTGTTCAAATTTTAATACATAATACTTATATATATATATATATATAGTACTTTGTGTAATAAATTTAAATAAAAAGTGTTACTTAAATATCTAAACAATTTATAAATTCAAATGTTTAAATTAATTGATAAACAATTTATAAATCTCTATTTTATTTAAATATGTAATTTTATTTAAAATTATTTTTAATGTAACAAAATTTGTTTAGAAAATCGTATCGATCCTACCAATCCAATAGACTGGTGTTGAAAGATTCGATAGCAAATATTTTATTCAAGCGCACTAGGCTGGTTATAAACCGGTTCTCGGTCCATCCGGTCAAACTGTGTCCAACCCGGTTTAATTTAAAAATAATGGATAAATCATGATTAATGTTATTTATTTATTCAATTTATAATACAATCAAAATATTGTTTTCTCGTGCATCGCACGGGCCACGCACTAGTGTAAATTGGAACTCGGTCGGAATTTGGAAATCTACACGGGTTCTGGTCATGTACTTACCAAAATGAATAAGCTAGAGATTTTTTTGTTATAGAAAAACTCATAATTATAAGTAGAAGATAGTCAGACAAATGACAAAAAATAACTATAAAGTCAGATTATAGCGACAGAAAAGACCGCCTAAAAACTACACTAGAGACTTACATCTTCAGGTGTATTTTCTATTACCTCGACTTG